ATTTAGAGTTTAGCTAAACCCGAAAGTAAGGTTTAGCAAAACCCGAATTTAGAATTTAGCTAAGCCCGAAATTACGGTTTAGCTGAACCCGAAATTAAGGTTGAGCTAAACCCGAATTTAGGGTTTAGCTAAGCCCGAAATTCGGGTTTAGCTAAACCCGAATTTAGGGTTCAACCAAACCCGAAATCAAGGTTTAGCTAAATCCGAATCCAGGGTTTAGCTAAACCCGAATTTAGGGTTCAGCTAAACCCGAATTTAGGGTTTAGCTAAACCCGAATTTAGGGTTTAGCTAAGCCCGAACTTAGGATTTAGCTAAACCCGAATTTGAATTTAGCTAACCCCGAAGTTAGGGTTTGGCGAAACCAGAATTTTTACCTAAACCCGAAATTAAGGTTTAGCTAAGCCCGAATTTAGGGTTCAGCCAAACCCGAAATCAGGGTTTAGCTTAGCCCAAACTTAGGGTTTAGCTAAACCCGAACGTAAAGTTTAGCTAAACCCGAAATTAGGGTTTAGCTAAACCCGAAATTAAGGTTTAGCAAAACCCGAAAGCAGAATTTAGCTAAGCCCGAAATTAGGCCTTAGCTGAACCCGAAATTACGGTTTAGCTGAACCCGAATTTAGGGGTAAGCTAAACCCGAATTTAGGGTTTAGCTAAGCCCGAAATTAGGCTTTAGCTAAACCCGAATTTAGGGTTCAGCCAAACCCGAAATCAAGGTTTAGCTAAACCCGAATCCAGGGTTTAGCTAAACCCGAATTTAGGGTTCAGCTAAACCCGAATTTAAGGTTTAGCTAAACCCGAATTTAGGGTTTAGCTAAGCCCGAACTTAGGGTTTAGCTAAACCCGAATGTAGGGTTAAGCTAAGCCCGAATGTAGGGTTAAGTTAAACCCGAATTCAGAGTTTAGCTAAACCCGAAATTAGATTAGCTAAACGCGAATTTGGGTTTAGCTAAGCCCGAATTTAGGGCTCAGCTAGACCCGAAATCAGGGTTTAGCTAAAGCGGAATTTAGGGTTTAGCTGAACCCGAAATTAGGGTTTAGCTAAACCCGAACTTAGGGTTCAGCTAAGCCCGAAATTAAGGTTTAGCTAAGCCCGAATTTAAGGTTTGGCTAAGCCCGAAATTAAGGTTTAGCTAAGCCCGAATTTAAGGTTTAGCTAACTTGAAATTAGGGTCTAGCTAAGCCGGAATTTAGGGTTCAGCCAAACCCGAAATCAAGGTTTAGCTCAACCCGAATCTAGGGTTTAGCTAAACCCGAATTTAGGGCTTAGCTGCACCCGAACTTAGGGTATAGCTAGACCCAAAATTAAGGTTTAGCTAAACCCGAAATTAGGGTTTGGCTAAACCCGAATTTAAGGTTTAGCTAAGCCCGAATGTAGGGTTAAGTTAAACCCGAATTTAGAGTTTAGCTAAACCCGAAATTAGATTAGCTAAACGCGAATTTGGGGTTTAGCTAAGCCCGAATTTAGGGTTCAGTTAAACCCGAAATTTGATTAGCCAAACGCGAATTTAGAGTTTAGCTAAACCCGAATTAATGTTTAGCTAAACCCGAATTTAGGGGTAAGCTAAACCCGAAATCAAGGTTTAGCTAAGCCCGAATTTACGGTTTGGCTAAGCCCGAAATTAGGGTTTAGCTAAGCCCGAATTTAAGGTTTAGCTAACTTGAAATTAGGGTCTAGCTAAGCCCGAATTTGAAGTTTAGCTAAACCCGAAATTAGGGTTTAGCGAAGCCCGAACTAAACCCGAAAGTAGGGTTTAGCTAAGCCCGAATTTAGGGTTTAGCTAGACCCAAAGGTAGGGTTTAGCTAATCCCAAATTTGGGGTTTAGGCGTAGCTAATCCTGAATTTAGGGCGCAGCCAAACCTGAATTTACGGTTTAGCTAAATCCGACTTTAGGGTTCATCTTACCCCGATTTTAGGTGTAGCCAGCTCCAAATTAGGGCGCAGCTAAACCTGAATTTGGGGTTTACCTAAACCTGAATTTAAGTGTAGCTAAACCCGACTTTAAACTTTTTATCTAGACCCAAATGTTTAGCTAAACCCTAAATTCGAATTTAGCTAAACCCGAATTTCGGGTTTAGCTAATTCTGAATTTAGGGCTCATCTAATCCCGAATTTTGAACTTAGCTAAGCCCGAATTTACAATTAAGCTAAATCCGAAATAAAGGGCGTACCTAATCCCGAATTTAAGTGTAGCTAAACCCGAATTTGGGGTTTAGCAAAACCTGTATAAGGGTTTAGCTTAACCTGAATTAAGAATTTAAATAAACACGAATTTGTATTTTAACCAAACCCGAAATTCGGGTTTAGCTAAACCCTAAATTCGGGTTTAGCTAGACCTCAGTTTTGGGCTTAGGTAAGCCCGAATTTAGGCTTTAGCCAATCCCAAACCCGAATTTAGGGCTGAGCCGAACCCGAATTCAGGTTTGAGCTAAGCCCAGATTGTAGGCTAAATCCGAATCGAAGGGGTGTAGCTAAGCGCAAAGTACCTGAACCCGAATGTAAGGTTTAGCTAAACACGAGCATAGGGTTTAGCTAAACCAAAACTTAAAGCTTAGCTAAACCACTGCCGTCCCTATCCATAATCAGGGATAATCTGCGAGCACTGGGGAGAGGATTGTTTCTGCTGCGTGCGCGCAGATCCGTGCAAATACCTTCGGTTTCCGATGCTGAGCCATCGGCTTGGGCTGCGACCATCATGAAAGATTCTGGATTCCTCGTGATGTGGAACAGCGGTCTGATGACTGTTTCGATGATCTCGAAACAGGACAATATCCGAGATGCCGGCCAAAGTTTTCAAGGTGCACTTTTTGGAAATGTGGAAGCCTGGGTCGCGTCTTGAACCTCTGCTGGACGTCACGCATCGTCTCCGATTTTTATCGCAGCTTCTCAGAACCTCGAATGCCGTGGCTGTTGCGTACCCCTCTCCGACCAAGCCGTACCAGGCGTGCCTCTTGCCCATGGTGCTACGCGCGCGCACAGCCTGTCTCTTGCCTGACGTGTCGCCGCATGTGAGGCGAGCCTCTTGCTTAACGAGCCGCGCCCAGCGCACCACTGCCCCAATCGCTTTGTGCACCAGTCCCCGAACGCTCCCCTTCCCGTTCCTAGAAACTTCCTAATTGATAACGTACAGAGTTCGGATTCAAGATGATTCAAGACTCTCGCTACTGTCTTACCTAATAGTAACACGGACTGCCTTGTTTTCCTACTTTTTTAATTTGAAAATTGCTGACTGGAAAACTCTTCGGCAATGAAAAAGATTGTGTAAATTCAAATTCCATAAGATAATGGAATTCCTATATTTCCTGAATTAGTTACTTTAATGTATTCATCAAGGAATTTCTATATAAAGGATGTTCTATGCAGATCTACAGAATCAATTACTCATACAGGAAATGAAAAAGATAAGACTTCAATACACATTTCTCAAACATGAGGAAATTCCTTGTGTTCCTCCTTTTTAGTGTTTGTTAACCATCTCTAAAAAGCACATATATACATATATATATATATAGATTGTGTATTCACGTTTCCGAAACATGAAAACATTCCTTGCTTTCCTCGATGTTTGTTGTTTTTCAATCGGCCATCATACTAAAGTTATATGCAAACTGTGCATTCACACTTCCCCTGTACTACGGAGTTCCTTGCTTTCCTCCGCTTGCATTTCTTCAAACGTGTATGTAATAAAGGAATTTCTGAAAGTACATATCGCCACATCTCCGAAAACATTCCGAAACATTAGGAAATTCCTTGTTTCCTTCATTTTCTAGTTGTTTAATCTGTTGCTTTACAGGAATGCACGTAAGAGAGTCTCTATTCGCACTTCTCTATCATTACCTAAAGAATTCTTTCTGTGGTTTCTTTTATACAGGAATGTCAATACACATTTCCCAAACTTCACGGAATTCCTTGCTTTCCCTCCATTTTTTTGATCTCTAACGGTGTTTATAAAGGACGTTATAGAACAGACAGTCTGATTTCCCCAACATTTTCAGGAATTCCTCATGTCCTCCATTGTTATGTGTTCGCAGTAGTTAATACACATGATAAACAGTCTGTCTACAGTTCCCAAAAATGTTCTTGTTTTGATGTTCTCTAGTTTTTTCTGGGCTTTGTTGGGTTTCAATTGATGTCTGTTGGGTTTCGCTTGGCTTGGTAGGGTTTGACGGTTCTTATTTAGTTGGCTATTGGTTTTCGATTTGGTTCCGCTGGTTCCTATTGAGGATTTTTGTGGTTTTCTGTTGATTTCTATTGGCTGTCTTTCCGTTGTCCTATGTTTTTTTGTTTGCTTGCTAGCAAACCTAAAACCCAACCTTCAGCCCACCTACATTGGTGGCAAACCCCATATCCTGGACCGGGATAGCCTCAACTCCGTAGATGCTGTTTGGGGGGAGGGGAGGGGGCGTGTGTTTTGTATACTACCCGACAATACTTTTTCCAGAGAACACGCGTGTAATCGTGTGTAATTTGTTTTGGAGGTGTGCGCTTTGTCTTAGCATGAAGTTGTTACTGCTTGTAACCTCAAGTGATGTAAGGACGTTCGAACCTACACGAAGCCTTGGCCCCAGAGCGAAGCCCATCTTGATTTGGTCAAGTCAGCTTTCACACTTGCTGGGCTGAGGGCTCATCTGCTTGCAAAGTGCAGCCTGGGTGGGTCTGGCGAGCCCTTAAAGCTAATTAATGGTTGGGCCGTCCTAGGAATGTCTATGAAACGGCTTCCCCAAAATTGGTCCTAAGCTCCTCTATGACACCTGAAACCGGCGTCTGATCAAACGGGCAGCACCTCTAGTAGGGCGTCTGAACAAAACGATCGAGGCCAGCCTTTCGCCATATGCAACGAGGCACCAGCGCTGCCTTTTCATACTGGTTTAAGCTGTTATGGAGACTCATGCCTCCTCGCGCGGTTCAAGTTTCATGAAATTTGGAAGGTCGTTGTAAAAGGGCTGCGGTGCCATCGCAGCTTTCGTGAACATCATTGCAGACTTTCGCGCACTTACCCGTCGCTTGCCGATAGCACTTGACATCTTATGGCCCACATGTAGATACAATTTAGTTTCAACATGTTCAAAGAGTGTTGGAACCATGCGTGCGCCCACCTCCTCTTCTTCCATCGTTGGCAAGCTCTTGCCCTCCGACGAGGAGCTTCCGGACTGGCACTTGTCCTCACGGGCATGGGATGTCTGAACCTCTGGCCGCAGGCAGTGAAAGTAATCAGGTGGCATTCCTCAGCATATCTCTCCCTCGTCGGGACATAGGGAGGTTCGAGCTCACGACACAGCAACTTTTCCCAGCCTGGTTCGCTCATGATCTTTCCATATCTTTCCACATTCAGACTTAGGCAGCTGCAAAGGGGCTTGAAGAAGGAGTGTGCTTTTAGCTTCGCGTAGCCTGAAGCGTGCACAAAATGCACAAAGGATTGCTTCTGAGAAGCGGCGAGGCCATGCCTTCATGACCAGCACCCAGGCGCCTCTTGGGGTCCCGTGACAGGAGGCCTCGAAGCAGACCTGAAGTAAGACGCGCGGGATATGAATTTGCCACAGCATCTGGACGAGAAAAGCCATGATCTGGAGGATTATTTGCTGCGGTCCGCGGCCTGTCACAGCCCTCACACCCTACAGGCGGAGCATATCTGTTTGCCTCACCGACCGATGCCAATAGAGCGGCAGGAAGAACCGCCGTAAGCGCGTCAATGATCGCAACCCGATTGACTACCACAGCAACATCAAGCAATCTCTGAGCATGTGTGCTAAGTTGCACTCCGATCGTGCATGCGTATACGCGAGGCGGCCACGATCTGGTTTCAAGTGTCTGCTCCGGAGTCAACAGATGGTAATACTTCGAGTTGATGTGTGTACTGTTGCCAGGCTCCACGTGTTCAGGACAACTCTGGCTTCGAAATGGTGTTGTACTCATGTCAGTGTCTGGGTTGAAGGGGTACTTTATGAATCTGGATGGCATACCTTAATCACGTTCCCGCGAAGCGGGGCATCGACAGAGGGCGCAGTGTAAAATCCATCATGTGCAAATCAGTCTGATTTCGTATCACTCCTAAGTCATCCTACTTGGGATTGCCCCCCCCACCTGCTTCTTACAAACCTTTTTCGCTGTCCGTTTGCCGTGCAACTATTGCTAAGTCAATGTTTTTGGACTACTCCCATTTCACTCCCCATCAAAGCAGCGACACTGCTTACATGTGTCGAAGTATTCCGATTTTGTGGTGCAGACTCGTTGGTCTTTGCGATTGGACACTGATGGCCCAAGCCAACCGATGTTTGTCACTGCTAGGAGGGAATAGCACAGGGGCAGCGGCCCATGGTCTCCTCTGAGACAGGCTGCTTGTGAAACCTAAGAAGATATAAGCAGCCGTCTTGCAGCAGCATCGAAGAACTGCCATGCAGCAGCAATTCTGTACGGCCCAGTGGAATTGAGCATCGGACCAGTCTGGAAATCGCAACGGCGCTCGCAGGATCTGATGAAAAACCCTTAGCTGCATCAAGCTTCTCTTGTTTCATGGGGCTAAGCACTGTGGAGTGCTTGCCTTCTGCTGTTCAGGGCATGGCTGCGCGCGGTTGGAGCGAGTACTGGCGAAGGGGAACTGGCCAATGACCTCGTCATGGGCTCGGCTACGAGCGACCAGTTGCTTCGCCCGGTGCATGCTGTGGCTAAGGATTGCACAAACTCATATAAGCAAATTCCAAGGCTCCAAAGATCTGCCACGGTGCTGTTCCCCTGCACCATCATGCCATGTTGTGCCGAGCTCACTTGATAACCTTACATGGAGGTTCAGTGACCTTGCCGAGTATCATCTCAGGTGCCATGAAGACGGGTGTGCCCTCAAGGCAGGTTGGAGCCCCGAATTAATTTAAGAGAGGCCATGTACAGTAGCAATTGCTTAAATGCATTAGATTGCATTAGACTTGCAGCTTCTGTGTTGGAATGGCCTTCAAAGGCCCATATCTGGTGTTGGTTATGCGGCGAGCAATGCCAAAGTCGATCAACTTGAGATATCCCTGCAGGGCTCCGGATGTTGCGAATCTGACATACGTCATACCAGCTCTGCTTTCCAGTGACAGATGCCTGCTGGTCAATCAGGCAATTCTCGCTTTTGAGATCAAGGTAGGCAATCCCTCCAAGGTGTGAGGCAGCAGTCGGATGCTGTCGGAATGACAGCTCATGACTCAGAGCACATTGCTGAGGGGCTCGCGCCGCGAATGAAGAAACTCGAGCGCCAGGACAACACAGCCTGTGTAAAACACTGCCTGCAGCAGGACAACAGGGGGTTTCTCCGCAGCTTGGAGTCTTGGGCGCATCATGCTGCATGACTTGCTTCTTAGTGTTCAGGGATGTTGGGGTCATCAAGACTTGACTCTAAAGCACTTGATCTTTTTGTGATTCGCGTGCCTGCGAGTGGTTCAGCAGACCTAGTGCATCGAGCGCATCCAGCAGCTCGCCCCCAGTCACTAGCTCGGTCAGGAAGAACACGCATCGCCTGCAAGGACGAATGCTGCAGACCATCGAAATCAGCATAGAGCCATTTTCATGTAAACTGACTAAAGCCAACAAGCAGCTCATTGCGGAACGACCGTACGAACTTCACAATGAACGGATGATCAACCTGGGGCAACGAAGCAAGACAGCTGTCCAGACCGCGACTTTCTCCGATTTGTGAGGCCTCCTTCAGAATTCCGAGTTCAGAGATCAAGGCATCTTGCATGTTCTTCTCGACGACATCTCGCTTCCGCACGCACTTCAAAGCATACCTGAGGGTTTCTGGCGTAATTCTTGCAAGTTATCACATGCGACATCATGCGACCAGCCTGACCCCAGTCTTCTTGGCCCGGACCATCTTAACAACTCCAAAGCCACCTCGACCGATCACCCGAATGCACCTGTCACTGCTGTTGAGAGAACTGCCATCCATTCCTGTGCCGGCTCCACTTAAGCAATCAGGCCCTGACTCAATGTCTTTCAAGGTTAGAGCTGTGTCCTCAAAGGCTGAGGCTTCCAATGCCTTAAATGGTACTAAAAAGGTACGACAAACACATTGCATCACTTGGATCAGACCATCATCTCAGGGCATCCTTTTCGATAGCACGAGGGCTAATTTGGAAGACAGTGGAACAGCCTGAGGTCGGCTCCGCATATCTCGTACTAAGACACGAGAATGCTGTCACAATACTGTCTTATGGCTGGCTTTTCGTCTGGGATTTTGGTCTGTGGGTTACTGCACTTACTGCTTCTGAGGTTTTGTTCATCTGGCTCTCGCGTTCTTGAAGGTTTCAAGCCCGCCTTTGCCTCTCACAGCATGAGCATCAAGATCTCGCAGAAACGCGGCAGCTTGTGCAGCAGAAGCGATGCAAGTCTTGTTGGCGAGTTCGAGGCAAGAGCATGCTGCGAAATCCGGCAGCAATTCTTGGCCAACTGTCACCACTCCTAGTTGTCTCACGCGGTGTTCAGCAAATTCTGAAGGGGGTTCAGGCTTTTCGTGACGGTCTTAAAGGTTTCAAGGGTTGTAAAAAGATGTCATGCATTTCGTCTTGCGCCAGCTGAGATGCCCAGAGGATGAAAAAACAAACATCTTCACACTTCCTCTGCACAAAGGCATGCCATGCAATCACACCAACCCGGAACAGAACTGCATGTCAGCGAATACAACCCAGACAGTCCTGTAGGGAGATGCGGTCCTTAAGATAATGCAAACACGGCCCCTGCCTGAGTGGGCATATCGCGTCGGCATAGGACTGGATCTGATGCCCAGATTGGCTGAGAGGCCGGCATGATGTCCTGAAAGGTCTCCTTGCCCATCTTCCATAGCTCTGTATCCTGGTGCTACAAATGCTGCAACAGCAGGCCTGAGCCGCACCACCTACGGGCTGGGCTAACGCAGGCTTTGGGGTACTGGAAGTGGTTGGGATTGTGAATTTCTACACCTGAGGGGTGGCAATGTCCTCCAAGGCAGAGATGGTGGCACTGCGAATGTCATCTTTCAGGAGAGCACGTTCTCCGAAATAATCAGGGTGGCCCAGCCTCCATCGCATCACAAAGCTGGCAATGGCATAATGCATCAGTTCGAACCTGCCTACGCTTTTGACGGCCATCGATGTCCACGCTGACGGCACCCTTCCGTATGATGTAGAAATGCCTTGCTGCAACCACTATGTCACTGCAATGCCGTGCAGCTCGTCTGGGCGCTGGCGTTCCTTGATCGCCTTGAGAGAACACCTCGGTTTCGGACAAACATGGAAGGTCAGCAAACGTCTTGTCTCAAAATGCTGCGCAATTTTTGGCTGCGGACTCGGCAGCCGCATTTGACAGTTTCAATTTCCAGCGCACGTGCCAAACCTTCGAGAGGAAAAACCGACCGGAACTGACACGCAAGCCTGCGTTTGGATCTGATCACAGCTCGACACCACACACCACATACCAGGTTTGTGCCTGCTGTAAACTTGTTCATCTTCCTCTCCTATCCTCTCTTGTTGTCCCCCTTTCTACTTCTTCTTGTGTGAACAGGTCTGATATTCTTTTGATGTCAATGGCCCAAAATTTCAAAAATGCAACTCTTTGAGAGAAAACTCATTTGCCCAGCTGAAAAGGACAATAAGTCTTGCAGGTCTCATGAAAGGCAGTAGCGGAGGCATCCATCACGCACATGCAAATTTCTGGCGACGATAATCGTGCTGCCCTTGACCATGCAATGGCACTGTGCAAACGTCTGGCATAGATGGCATAATTGCTCTTTACAAAACAAGCTCCGAATTCAAGAAAACAATGATGATATTCTACGACGTCAAATTACAACAATGAGCAATGAATCGTGAAGTATGAAACTGTCTTGGAAACAATGCGCGCCAAGCTAATTATGTCTTGCAGGCGTCCCTTCGAAATATCATCGCCGCAAAGCAGTGTCTTCGTTGGTGGCTGACTGCCAATTTAAGTTCTTCATCGGCATGCAAAGCGTGCAGTGCACTTGCTACCATACCAGGACCTGAGCAAGAGCGTACAAAACTTATTGCATGGATTAAACAGTTAACATTGCAGGCATATTTGCAAACATCCAAACTGCGAAGAAAAAATCCTGAACCTCTTGCAAAACATCACAGGCAATGTCTTAAACCACACAAACATTGCACACAATGCATGGTGCAGCAAAACCTGCTTTGTGGCCTGGCATGTCTGTTAAATGAGAACAGGTTGAAATCAGTCTTAAGCTGGGCGCAAGGACCGTGTAGGCTGGGCATGGGTCAGTTCTCTCCTTGGCCAGCGTGATCAGCATCATTGGGGTCCCGTTTCTCCTCCTGCCAGGCTTCTAGGCTGCCTGAGCCCACTGGGCGATTTGGGATGGAGGATCAAAAAAAAACAAATAATCAAGAAAAAACAAGCAAGGATCAAAAACAAAACAAAATCGTGGATTTCAAAGTAAAACTGGTAGAACGGCGACAAGTCCGGGGATCAAAAAAAAAAAAGTGACTCAAAACTAATGAAA